AGCCCTGCGAGAGTCCATACGCCCCGCCGCCTCGTGGCTGGTGACCCTCAGCAGGAACTGGGGGAGTCCGGAGAGTCCTGGGAGTCCGGACGCCCCACCGCCTCGTAGCCGGGGACCCCGAGCGGGGAACCGGGGGTTCCGGGGAGTCCTGAGGGCCTGGGAGCCCCGCTCCCTCGTGGCTGGGGACCCCCAGTGGGAACCGGGGGAATCTGGGGAGTCCTGAGGGTTCTGGCGCCCCGCTGCCTCGTGGCCTGGACCCTGAGCGAGAACCAGGGGATCTGGGGAGTCCTGGGGTCCGGACGTCTCGCCTTCCTGGCCAGGGACCCAGAGCGGGAACTTGTGGGTCAAGGGGGTGTCCTGGGGGCCCACGCGATTTCCTGCCTGAGGGAGACCCCACCACTGCCGTCCCGAATTTCCCGCTGGGGGACCCTCGATCGGGAACCTGCGGGCTCCGGGGTACCCTGTCCTCCCCTGCACCTGGATTTCCTGCTGGGGGACCCGGAAGCATCCCGGTGCCGTATTTCTCGGGGACTTCGAACAATAACTTAGGGGGTCCGGGGCGCCCCCAGGCCTTGCGCGAACTTGGCAGGTCGGCGGATGTGGCGCGCCTGCTGACGGGTTCCATTTCTGCTGCTGCCCAACTTCTCCCGGCCGGTACTCCCAGCGACAGCCCCCTCCTCCATTCACTCTGTCCTCCCAAGTGAAGGTTTGCAAACCGAAGGCCGAGGGCCAGGGTTACGGGGGCCGGTCCCAGGTCTGCATCCGGAGCACTCCGCGGGGTCCACCATCTCAGCGCACCCGAGCCCCCTGATGGGGCATCTGCAACTGCTGTTTTTATGTTGCTAGAGCTTCTTCCTGCTCAGCCCCCACCGCACCCTTATGGGTGAATTTAAGATAAAGAGAAAGGGAAACTCCAGTGGTGGACAGAATAGGCTCCTTTCCGAGGTCTTTCTCTTTGGTGCAGCTATTAGCTAGAGAACGTTTGTTACAGCTAAGTTTTCCCTGTTAATTATAGTCTTCCCTAATTCTAAATGAGCTGGAGATGAGAGAAGTGATCCCAGAGGAGCCAGAGAACCCAATTCTGCCCCAGTCTCGGGGTTTGGTCTAGTTTTCTTTGTGGAGACTGTCTTACAGCATCAGAGTAATTTTACAGTTAAATTCTTCCACGAAGATGGCACAACTGCCTGGGCTTGGTTTCCGTGGCCTTGTGTACATTTCTCAGTGCGCTTAGCTTTGAACAGATGCGGTGTTTACAAAATGCTTGATTTGGTGAGTAAGTCATTGTTTGCTGGTGGGTGGCCGGCCTCCCTGGGCCCCTGCCTGGCTCCAGCTGCAGGTTACACCAGAAGACATAAAACACATTTTGTGAGCTCACCCCTCCAAAACCCCCACACCATTGAGAGGACTGGGAGGAAGGCATTTAGCTCCTAGCCTGGTTTGTTTTAGGAGACAGGTCCAGGCACTAGAAGTCTGAGTTGTGTGTTAGATAAAGTAAAAGTTGCAGCATTTCCAAGGGGAAACTAGGAAGTGAGGGGAAAGAGAGCTCCGCCCAAAGGGGACGGAATCTTAGGGGGAGTTAGCGCCCCCCCCAGATGGGGACCTGTCTTTCTGGGGAGCCTTTCAAGAGGCAGGTTCCTTTGGGCCTGGGCTGCCTTTCCCCTCGCCTGGGAAGGAAGGGAGCCTCCAGGTCCACAAGGCTGCCCCTCGGTGTGTCCTCAAGGAGACAGTCCTCTGTTGCCTGGCATTTCACCCCAACTTGTACTGACTCTGGGAGATGGTGGAGCCAGGATCTGAGGCTGGGTCTGGAGGGTCCCACCCTCAGCGCTGGAGCCCCAGGCAACTTGGGGAGGCCGTGAAGCAGGTAGCAGAACCAGGATCTGGATGAGGGACCTGCCTGGCTACATTCCCCTCCCCACCCTGGCGAATGTACCCAGATTAGCTTAGTTTTAAAGTTGTCTCAGGTGTCCCAGAAACTTTTTATTGCTTTGCCCAAAAGCATCAACTGGTTTCCATTTTATTAGGAGCCTTGTTTGTGTGTGATGTGGGAAGTCCAGGCCCGCCCTGTAGTTGAGCTTGTGTGGGCTCCATGGTGGCCCTCTCGGGGTTCCTGGGAGAGACCACAGTTGCTGGCTTCAGGGCCGTCACCATGCGGGAGTGTATGGTGTGCAGATGAGGCGATAGCCAGCGGTACTGGGCCGTGATGGTGGGAGTAATCTCTGACGACACCCACCTGCACCTCACAGCTCCTTTGCTTTGGGGTCTGGTCACCCCCCCCTCCCCTGGTGGAGACCTATGTCCTCAGGAAGTGTGTGGATGCGGGGGGGCATCCCACTGGCAGGGTGTGCTTTGGAGTTTGAGTCTCTGAGGAAGAGGTTCTTGCCCCTTCTCTTTTGTGGTGTCTTGGCTGTGGCAGAGCTGCCTCGGTGATCAGCGTGGACTCTGAGGGGAGAACAGGGTTGGCGAGATCACTCCTTCCTTTAACGGAGAGAGGAGGTATTTACGTATTTAACGGACTGGGAATTGAACCCAGGACCTCGTGCGGGCTAAGCACGTGCTCTACCACTGAGCTAAAGCACCCCCCAGACCACTGCTTTTAGTTTACGTTTCAGCGCCCTCGGTATCACAGTCTCCACTGAAGCAGAGCCAGGGCGGGGCTTGAGGGCAGGGGTCAATGGGAGCAGCTGTCACATGTGACCTCGCGGAATCCACGTGCAGATGTCCTCAGTCCTGGGCCACCTGGCTGGACAGGCACTCACCTTGCTGGGGGCTGGGGAGCAGCCAGGGTTTCGTCCTGTTCTGTGGTCTTGGACAGTCCACTTAAGTAGAGGTCCCCTGACTCAGATCTTGGGAACTGACGCCCGCGTGGCCTCTCCGAGAACCCCACGGTGCCCACCAGGGAGCTGGTGAGACAGGGACACCTGGATGAGACTGAGGGGCCGCCCCAGGGAGAGGAAGGACCCGGCAGAGGGAAGGGAAGCAGCAGTGGAAGAGGCAGGGAGATGCGGTGCGTCCGAGGCCACAGACGCAGGGAAATGGTGACCTCGGGGCCACAGATCCCAAGTGCTGACTCCATGGGGGCCGGTGGCTATGTGGTGCTCTGCTGACTTCAGCATGTGGATTTGTCCTGAGGTGGAGTGCGTGGGTCCTGCGTGGCCACGGCCCTTTCTGGAATGGTTGACTGCAGAGGTGTCAGACGCCGACAGCCCTCTGTGGAGCTCTGGCTGGGCCTGGAAGGGCGGAGACCAGGGGCACACAGGACCTGACTTGCTAAGGGCCTGTTTGTGTGAGCGCCCCAGGAGGCGGGTGGGGTCCCTGTTCAGTTCCGAGAGGGTGGAGACGCTGCTGTCAGAGGCTCATCTTTTAACTTTGGGGCTGTCCTGGGCCACTATCTCCCCTTCAGCATGGCCGACGTTCAGGGCCATCCAGGCACCTTGGGTGTGGAGCATCCCCGCCCCTACCCCTTCGATGCCGGTACCCCCCTAGTCGTGACAATCACAGACGTCCCCAGACGTGACAGAGTGTCCCCCCAGCTGCCATCCCCTGTTTGGAACTTTGCTTTTTCAGGCACTTGCTCCCGGAGTTCAGGACGTGTCCCAGGGCTGGCTGCCCCTGGGAGGTGGGCAGTGATGTTGGGAAGTGTTCTGCTGGACTCCTGTCTGGGTCCTGCTGCTGCAGTGGGCCCAGCAGCTTAATGCTGTGGTGCGCCCTCCCGACCCAGCAGCTGTGAGGAGCGGTCCCCGGTGAAAACCTTTCCGTTTGGCAGGGCAGAGGGAAGCTTGGAGGGGTCAAGACTGTCCCTCTGTGTCACTCTCATGATGGCTGGGCCAGAGCAGGGAGCCCTGCGGGTCGGAGTCAGTGTTTTCCACATGGGGGCAGCACCGCTGCCAGCCGTCCGCCTTCTCCGGTCGCGTCTGGGCAGAAGGCCACTCATCTGACCCAGGCCCCGGCTGGTTCTGGGTTGGGTGGGGAGCACCCTGATTGTGCCTGGGAGGCGTGGGAAGCCTGTGCTCCTCCCATGGGCTCTTCTTGAGTGCGGGGCGGCCCCCGCCGCTGTTGAAGCCTGGTGAGCTTAGCTGCTGGCCTGAGGGAAGCCAGGGCTGCAAGGTCAGGGGCCAGTGTGGGCAGGCTTTGGGGTGAGACCCCTGCCCCAACAGCTGCCTTCGGGGCTTCCTGTCTGTCACGGTAGAAGGGCCTGGAAGTGGGGCCACACATGGGAAGATGAGGCCTGGCGAGCCCTGCTGGGGTCAGAGGTGCGAGCGCTGGCCTTTAAGCAGAAAGGGGTCCAGCCCCTTCTGCACATCCTCCAGTGCGAAGCCGCCAGCCTGCAGTGCTGCCAGGGCAGGGCCCGCTGCGGCTGCATGGGCAGAGACGCCGCTGAGGATTTGGTTTCCGGTAGAAAAACACCACGTGGAGCTTAAGTGCTTGGAGCAAGAGCAGGATGGTCATCCAAGCCAGACTTCAGGTTCAGCAGGCGGAGAGGGGGAGTATGTCCTGGAGCCTGGAGCCCGGTCACTTCTGCAGAGCCCCCCTGGGAGGAGGTCACCGACCCCAGCTGTTGAGGTGCAGGCCCTGGGATCCAGCAAGCTGATCGCAGACCAGCTCTTGTGGGTCCCCTGGGTGGTGGCATTGCTTGTTTACTGAGTAGGATCCTGACTGGGTCACCAGAGGTGGACGGGCTCGGAGGTCCCCTCAGGGTTTGTCGGGTGTGGGGTCTGTGGGATCTCTGAGTAAAGACTGGCACCCTTCAGCGCAGGGAAGGCTAGAGCAGGCAGCCACGTGTGGCAGCTGACCGCTCACCTGCGGAGTCGTGTGTGAACGCAGCATCACCGCGCTAACCGGGTGCCCAGCTGTCTGTCTGGGTGCCCCTGCAAATGTGTGCGGCCGCGTTAGCCAGGGTGGCCCTGTGGCTGGGGCAGCAGTGCAGCCCCGTCTGGCTCTTCCTGTCAGGAGGCCCTGAGTCTCTGGACACAGTCCCTGCCACCAGGAGTCAGTGGGGTCTCCTGGGGACTTCCGGAACCTTCCGTCTGCAGACCAGGGAGCAGGAGGAAAGGAAATAAAAGCTTGTGAAGCGGTCAGCACAGCGTTGGCTGGGGCTCCGTGGCTCCTCCTGTGTTGAGGAGCTGTGTCCCGTAAACCTGTCTCAGGGGCCGCATGCTGATGGGTCTGAGAGGAAGCCTCCATCCCGGCATTTCCTCACTGATGAGCCACCTTCACCCTAGAGTGGCTATAACTTGAGACTTAGAGGTCAGTGACAAGAACAGCAGCCCGGTGCCCGTGTCCTCACACAGCAGCCAGCGTTCTGCCCGTCCGGGTGCCCTCTCACCGCGCCTCTTCCAGGGGAAGCCAGCCCGTCAACACCTCTGTGCAGGCGCGTCCACAGGTCCTGAGAGCCCAGCACAGCGGCGCCGTCCGGAAAGTCGGTGGCAGCGCCGCATCGTCCGTTCTGCGGGACAGGCTCTGGTTTTGTCGATTGCAAGGTTGATGACGTTTCTAGTCCTTTCGCCTTAATGCTTGATTTCGAAATTTCAATGAGGGCTGGAACCTGGACTGGTCAGACCAGTTCCTTCCTCCACTGTGGCCGGTGGGGATTGGGTTGCTTGGAGAGACACCTGTTTCTGACCTTCTTGTTTGGTGGGACTCAGGCCTAAGCAGAGGCTGGTACTCCTCCAAGTGAATTGGAGTTTGTTTTGGTTTTGGTTTTTGAGAATGCTTGAGGCCTCTTTTTTCTACTCCAAGCTGCTTTTCCACAGCAAGCCCTCTGTTTCCGTGCCGAAGGCCTGGCCAGAGCGGCAGTCCCTTGGTGGCACCAGCCAGCCTCAGGGCCCTTCTGTTGTGGGCCCTCCTGGGCGTCAGGTCCACTCCCTGGGGTCATGAGGAGGTAGGAGGAGGCCTGGCCAGATTTCGAGAGTGTGTAGGAGACTGGACGTGAAGTTAGTGAGGCCCAAGTGTGAGCCTCCCCTGCTGCCTGGTGGGTTCAGCCCCTGGAACTGGTCCTTACAGAGCGCCTTCCAGGGCCCTGGGAGTTTGGCCTCAGGCAGGCGTGTGGGGCCACCTCATGGGGTCTGTCCTCGGGTGCGGGGCAGGGCACCCTGTCTGGCGGCTCTCTCGGTGGCTTGGGGCTCAGTGCACCTGGCCCTGAGGGCATTTTATCTTCTAGCTGAAGGAGGTGTGGTTAGTTGTGCAGGGGGCCTTGGCCCCCCGCACTGGCATCTGATGACCCACTGGTTTGCACCAGGAGCCCCGAGGGTGACGCTGCTGTGTCCCTTTTCCGGGGGAAGCAGGCAGGAGGGAGGGCGGCCGCCCCATCGCTGGCCCTGGGGTGCGGGGCCTGCGTCCCAGCCGCGAGGGGTGCCAGAGTGCACGTGGGTGTGGTCCCGAGTGGGGCTGGGACAGCCACAGCGCACGGGGCTCCCCCGCTCACCTGGGCTCAAAGAGTGGCAGGCAGTGGGAGGGCTCCGTGGGCTGCAGAGACAGCGGAAGGTGTCCTTTCAAACATGCTGGTCCATCTGCCTGAAAGGCCACCCTGCTGAGTCTGCTCCAGGGACCTTCCCAGGGATTCATGTGTCCTTACTCACCACCACATGGCGGGTATCTGAGGCCTAGCCCTCAGGCCCCCACCCGCACTGTCCTAGCTTGCTATGTGCCATCCCAGACCTGTTCCCAGAGTGGTCCGGGGGCCTGCCCCGTAGTCTTGCGCTGGAGCTGGCGTGGTTGGGGGCGCCCGTCGTTCTCTTGCAGGACCCCATTTTGTTACGATGACAAAGGTCGGCATGCCTGTGCGATTTTGGACATGATAACCCTCACTTCCCACTGTTTTGGCACATCTTGGAGTCATTTTTCACATCTTCTGCTGGCAAGGCCTGGCCAGGCGATAACCAAGGCGGGCACATCACGGCCCTGCCCTAGACCTGAGTCCTCCGGGACCGCTGTCGGATGGGCCAGATGGGTGGCACTTGGGCAGAACCGCCTTGGTCCTCAACATTTTCTTGTTGAATTGCAGGAAGCTGTTCGTGGGCGGCCTTGACTGGAGTACCACCCAAGGTAGGTGCGGATGGGCTATGGGCTGGTGACCTTGGTCTTCAAGTTGTGTGAATTTGTTTTTAATTCTCAACTGATTTGATTGGTTTCTGGGATGCAACATTTGATCAGGAGTTGGCTGGGACAGAGAGTGGTCCTTGGCCTTGGAGCTGGATCTTGTCCTAATGTTTCACGGCAGAGTTGAGGGAGGACGTCAGGGGCAGGCTCCCAGCTCAGGGTGGAGGCAGAGGACTGGTGGTGTGTGGAGGCTGCAGTGAGGTGGGCTAGGGGTTGACAAGGGGCGAGGGGCAGGTGTCGCTGAGTTCCGACCCTCAGAGGAAGAAATTTGTGATTGGCGGCCTTGGGAGGCCTTGGAAGTCATCCTCCTGCCCCTTCCTTTGGCTGGCTGGCCCCTCCCCTCATGCAGCCTTCCCCTTCCAGCCGCGCCCCCAGCAACTGATTGGCCAGTTTAAAGGTTCCTGGTTCCCCACCTTCCAGGCCAGGCTGAGGGACCAGGGGAGCATTTGTGTGCGCGCTGGCTGTGACCCATCTTAACCCTGTGGCACGTTTGTCTGTCCCGCTTTCCGAGCAGAGACCCTGCGCAGCTACTTCTCCCAGTATGGAGAGGTCGTGGACTGCGTGATCATGAAGGACAAGACCACCAACCAGTCTCGAGGCTTTGGGTTTGTCAAATTCAAAGACCCCAACTGCGTGGGCACGGTGCTGGCCAGCAGACCGCACACCCTTGATGGCCGAAACGTGAGTGTCCATACCTGAACGAGGCTCCCACCGCCCTTCCGTGTGTCCTTCCTCTGCTTCCCTCTGTCCCCATGCTCTGGTGGTGTCTGTGTCATGGACTGCTTCCCAGTGGGGTTGGTTGAGGAGGGTCAAGGCTTGGGCGTGGGTGGGGTGTGGACGGAAAGTGTGCACCTGGCTGCTGCCACTCACCCCTGTTTCTGGGGGAAACAGCCTCCTGTTCACAACTGGCTCCTTTGAAACTTCCACAGATCGACCCAAAGCCATGTACACCTCGGGGGATGCAGCCGGAGAGGACGCGGCCGAAGGAAGGATGGGTAAGGGGCTGGGGGGCTCCTCCTCCTGGGGGCTTCCACAGCCACCATTTGGAGGAAATAGGTGCCTTTGATCTGGTGTTTTTGCTCATTAAAATGGAGAGTGACAGAAGGTCTTCTAGTTTCACGTTGCAGCGGCTGAGAATTGCTCAGATTTGTTCAGCATTGAAAGTTTTTTTATCTTGTAGCCAAGAAGATTCTCATTAGTCTACCTTAAAAATAACAGCTTACACCCGTTTGTCGTCAGGAACCTTCCATTTCATCCTCACTGCCTGCTCTCCACTGGCCCAGCTGCTCAGGCGCCCTCTCTACCCCAACTCAGCTCTCCTTGGTGACCCAGCTGAGCTCGGTTCCCCACCCCTCCACGTGTCCCGCTCTGTGGACTGCTCCCCCCAGGGCTGTGTCCCACCGCCGGGTCCCTGAGCAACTAAGCTCACAGCCCAGCTTGGGGATTCTCTGTGAGCTGTGTGTGGCACCTGCTGCTCAGCCAGCTGGAGCAGGACCCTCCCACAGCCCCCACCCCAGCACCTAAAGTGAGCCGGGTGGGAGGCTGTTGAGGTGCTCGTCTTGGCCCACCACGCAGGTCTGATCAGCCGGCTGGGCCTGGGAACCTGCATTCCTAGCGGATTCCCAGCTGCTGCTGGTGGACAGGAGCCTCAGCCCAAGTTTTTATTTTCCCAGCTTCCTGTTAGAAAAATAGGGATACAGGGAAATGGGAAGAGCAGTGAACCCCTGAATACACTGCCCAGATGCGCCAGTTGTCAGCGTCAGTAATCTGTATAGGACCCTGGATGCCAAATCCACAGACGCTCAAGTCCCTCATACGACATCATGTAGCATTTGCATGTGATCTGCACACGTCCTCCCGTGTACTTTAAACCACCTCTAGGTGACTTATAAGACCTAACACAGTGTAAGTGCTATGCAGGTGGTTAGCTGGCATGTGGCAAATCCAAGTTTTGCTTTTTGGAACTTTGTGGAATAGTTTTCTGCGTATTTTTGATCCACAGTTGAAACCAGGGACGCAGAACCTGTCAGGGGGCCAGCGTGCTTATCCTCATCTTGGTCTGCACACACTGCTGCTGACAGCACACCCTCCTGCCCCGTCCCCACACCCCGGGCACCCGCTGGGCTTATTCGCAGGGCGCTCACAGCTCTTCTGTTCAGACCTGGCTGGAGCGAGGCTTGTGTCCTGTGGCATTCGCCCTCCAGTTGTTCAGGGGAGGGCAGGGGAGGCCCAGTAACCTGCACACCCTGGTGGTCTTGAGCCCCCTGTGCCCCTGTGAAGCTGTCCCCGCCCAAGTGTAGCCTCTGAATCCCTAGTGGAGTCCCTTGGGAGTCTTTGGGGGCAGGAGGAGGCAGGAAAGGGGAACAGTCAGGTAAGTGATCTTCAGGTACCAGAACTTTCCACAGTCCTGAAAGCGAGCCTCGTTGCCAGTTTGAGTTGTGGAGGCTGCCCTGATTTCCGTGATTCTCCTGAAACCCTGGGTTTACACTGCAGAGCTCTGAAGTCCGCAGCCGTGTGACCGCCCATCCCCGGGCACAGGGCGCGGCAGGGCTGGTGGGGCCCCATGGCCTGTGCAGGGAGGCAGCACGCTGCCGGCGCTGCTGCTTTGCTTCTCTTTGGACCTGCTGGATTCTTGGCGTGTTCCAGTCTGACTTTCAGAGGCTACATCGTACGCACTGTGGGGAGTGTTCTGAGGGTTCCCATGTGAGCTAACCATTTTCTTCTTCTTGAAACAGCAGAAAGGACCCAGGAGCGATAACAGTAAATCAAATAAGATATTTGTCGGTGGAATTCCCCACAATTGTGGTGAGACAGAGCTCAGGGAATACTTCAAGAAATTCGGAGTGGTGAGTCCTTCCCGCGCCAGCAGCATGGCTGGTCAGGGCGGGAGTGGCGTAGCCCTGTGTGCACGGGAAGGTGCGGCCCGGCCGCCTCTCCTCTAGTCCCGGTCCTCCCCTGACAAGGCGGGCCAGGGCCGTCCTTCCTCTTCATGGCCGTCTGCCAGCCCAGGAGAATAGTTAGTGGCTTTTCTAGGAAAATGTCAGTTGGACAGACGGACTTCCTGGAAGGCGCTCTGGTTGCTTGTGGCCACCATGGTGGAAACCCCTAGATGGTGCTTGGGACTACGGGTGTGTCTGGGCCGAGGAGCTAGCCTGCTATCCCTCGGCACAGGGGGGAATAACCTATATCAGGTCCACCTGGGGCCTTGGCTGACTGCCTCCCCTTCCCCCAAAGGACCTGAGGATGGTTTTCTTTTCTGGAAGAGGATAAAATCCTTTAGAATCTTACAGGGCTCAGTTACTTGGAGTCACACGGGGAACTCAGTTCTTGTGGGGCAGACAAAACTAGGCTGCAGCTAGGGAGCCGGCAGGTGTGGGAGGTCGTGCGGTCATCTGGGGCGAAGGCGCGAGGTCACCCAGGCTCCTGCCGGGTCATGCTCGCTGCGGTGCACCCGTCAGATGGCACATGTGCAGGCCTCGGGCCTGGCCAGGAATTAGGAGTGTGGGGGCCGGGGTGCTGTCCCTGGGAGGTCCTGGCCCCCACAGTGTCCCATGCCCGCCCTGGGAGCACCCATCCAGCCTGCTCGCGCCCCACGGACCTCAGACCCCACAGACACAGCCTTTCGCTGCGGGACTTCCTGGGTTCTGGAGACACTCAAGCAGCCGTGGGCTCGGGAGTTTGGTTGTAGCCAGAGGTGGCTGGGGCGCCTGTGGACCTGGGTCCTCAGACGCCGTCTCTCTTCCAGGTCACAGAAGTGGTCATGATCTACGACGCGGAGAAGCAGCGGCCTCGAGGTAAAAGAGACGGAGTTTGTCCTCGACCCCCCCTCAGATGGCAAACTATCTCACAATTAGGTGGTGGTTGTAGCGAGCATTGCCTCAGAAAAGGGTGATTTGGAGACCAACCATTAAAGTGTAGGCCCTTCTTACGCGGCCCCCAGCCTGTCTGCTTCCCAAGGTCAGGCAGTACTGTCTTTTTTTTCCCCCTCCAAGCTCACTCTTTTAAAGTTTTTACAACTTGACATGAATTTCAACATGGTTTCTGTTTTTAAGTGTGTCCTGAAAGATTAGTTGTTCTTTTAAATCGTGAACGTCCTCC